AGCTGAGATGGCCCTGACATCTGTTTCTGAAGTCCCCTGATAGTTCCCCTCAAAAGGTGTGCAGCCATATTCAATTGGGAGGAGGCCCAGGAGATGGCCCCTGACTTATTGGAGGGAACTGGCGACATCTGTTCTTTCTTTTCATCCAATATATGTAGCCAAGCTTCAGCTGAGAGGGGCTCAAATTTGATTATAGAATAATTTACACTGCAACAACGATCTAGAAATAAGTCAATATAAATAAGATGATCTGTCAATAGAATGGGTATATTTATTCTTAAAATAAGATAATTAGATAATATGCAATTGAAATAAGACAACGCCAGTGTTTTTTTTCCTTCTTTTAAATGTACACTACTCAAGTTAATTAAACTGCTGTAATATTGATTTGGTCAAGTAAGTAGCAGAGGGGTTTGTTAATCAGTTTCAGCTGCTTTGGTGTTAATGAAATTAACAACAGGTGCACTAGAGGGGCAACAATGAGACGACCATCATAAAAGGAATGGTTTTACAGGTGGAGGCCACTGATATTTTTCCCCTCCTCATCTTTTCAGACTCTTCTTTTACCACTTTTGCATTTGGCTATGGTCACTGTCACTACTGTTAGCATGAGGCGCTACCTGGACCCTACAGAGGTCGCACAGGCAGTCCAACTCCTCCAGTAATTGCCATTGCTAGAAGGTTTGCTGTGTCTCCCAGAACAATCTCAAGAGCATGGAGGAGATTCCAGGAGACAAGCAGTTACTCCAGGAGAGCTGGACAGGGCCGTAGAAGGTCTACAACCCATCAGCAGGACCGCTATCTGCTCCTTCGTGCAAGGAGGAGCCGGAGGAGCACTGCCAGAGCCCTACGAAATGACCTCCAGCAGGCCACTGGTGTGAATGTCTCTGACCAAACAATTAGAAACATACTTCACGAAGGTGGCCTGATAGCCCGACGTCTTTTAGTGGGCCCTGTGCTCACTGCCCGGCACCGTGGAGCTCGATTGGCATTTGCCACAGAACACCAGAATTGGCAAGTCGGCCACTGGCACCCTGTGCTTTTCACAGATGAGAGCAGGTTCACCCTGAGCACATGTGACAGACATGAAAGGGTCTGGAGAAGCATTTGAGAACGTTATGCTGCCTGTAACATTGTTCAACATGACCGGTTTGGTGGTGGGTCAGTGATGGTCTGGGGAGGCATATCCATGGAGGGACGCACAGACCTCTACAGGCTAGACAACACCACCCTGACTGCCATTAGGTATCAGGATGAAATCCGTGCACCCATTGTCAGACCCTATGCTGGTGCAGTGGGTCCTGGGTTCCTCCTGGTGCAAAACAATACAACAATGCCCGGCCTCATGTGGCGAGAGTATGCAGGCAGTTCCTGGAGGTTGAAGGAATTGATACCATTGATTGGCCCCCACACTCGCCTGACCTAAATCCAATAGAGCACCTCTGGGTCATTATGTTTCGTTCCATCTGACGCCGCGAGGTTGCACCTCAGACTGTCCAGGAGCTCAGTGATGCCCTGGTCCAGATCGGGGAGGAGGTACCCCAGGACGCCATCCGTCGTCTCATTAGGAGCATGCCCCGACGTTGTCAGGCATGCATACACGCACATCGGGGCCATACAAATTACTGAATACCATTTTGAGTTGCTGCAAAGAAATTTCAGCAAAATGGACTAGCCTGCTGCATCATTTTTTTACTGTAATTTTTGGGGTGTCTTTGAATTCAGCCCTCTGTAGGTTGATCATTTTCATTTCCATCAAATGTTGTGGCATCCTTTTGTTCCTAACATATCACTCAGTCCATATCAGGATAAATAAACAGCAGGATTTTTTTCCCCATTGAGATCTGATCTGTTTAAATTTTTTTGAGCAATGTAAATCGTCTTGTTCCATTGGCAAAGTATCTCAATTACCTCCTTAATTCAAGAACAAGTGCACTCATTTATTTTACTTTTTATTAGATTTAGATTTTTTTCCCAGTGTAATGTTCAGAAGAGTTCAACATCTGCCAATTAAAGACAATTCTAATTCCACTTCAAATCAATCTAAAGATTATAATGCACTGTAATAATGTTTGGCAGACTGATCAAATTATATAGTCAAATTCAGTCTCACTTAAACATTACTCAGATTCAGTTGATTAAATACATTAAATATAGCTACTAAGTAAAATCTTATACTGCCTGATCTCTGATGATACTTTCCATGAATGCACATATAGATTTAAAATTGGTTAATTTCAGAGATCATGTGCATAAAAGAAGGAAAAAGGCAATCTGACGTATCCAAATATCTTCCATATCTGCTGTCTCACCATAGCTCTATTTTTGCCTCTACAGGAGACTGCCTATTGGACCAGCCTCAGAAGCACCTCACTCTCCAGGACAGCCTTCCTGGCTCCAGCTATAGCCTGCACCGCCAGTGTGAGCTTGCCTTTGGTTCAGGCTCCACACCCTGCCCCTACATGCAGCCCTGCACAAAGCTGTGGTGCACCGGGAATGCTCGTGGACAGCAAGTCTGTCAAACCCGACACTTTCCCTGGGCAGACGGCACAAGCTGTGGCTATGGTAGCAACAAAGTCTGCTACAGAGGCACCTGTGTTGATAAGCACAGCACCATGCATGTAAAGGTGAGGCAGAAGGGGACTTAGTGTAGCACTGTCTTACATGAACATTCTTAACACTGACGAGTAAAGCATGGTTCTGCTTTTGACGAAGGTGGATGGCCGTTGGGGGAAGTGGGGTGCATTTGGAGACTGTTCAAGAAGTTGTGGTGGAGGTGTTCAGTTGGCCAGGAGAGACTGTAATAACCCTGTCCCTGAAAATGGTGGGAAATACTGCTACGGCCTTCGCATTAAATACCGCTCATGTAATCTCAACCCTTGTCCTGAAACTGGTGAGTTTAATGTCTGCTTAAACCAGTAGATCTCCTAAATCTATCTGTTAAAAAAAGTGGTATCCATATATATATATATATATATATATATATATA